GATCTCTCAGCCCTGCGGCTGCCACTTTTCCAGCTCTGTTAGGCCTGAGCACTTGCTGTAAGAAACAGCTCACTGTAGGTATTCTGCCTCTTACAAGAGGTGAGAATAATTATTTTAAGACTCGAAGAAAACAAGGCTCAAATGTTCTGTCCTCAGGCCCATAAATCATTGCTCTGGAGAACTTGAGCTTGCTTATAGTTGGGAATAAAGCCAAGACATAGGCAAACTCAGAAAAGAAAATACGTTCTTCACGAAGTAGCAGTACAGGGTTTGAATTCTTATGTCCCTCCCACTTGGCCTGTGTGAATTTGAAATCTGCATTTACAAACATTAACTGGGGGGATCAAGAGGACAGGCCTCATAAACATCCTATAGTTACCTTACTGCCATATTATTTTAATCATGAGTAATTTATATAAATTTAGGATTATTTATTTTTTATTGGACCATTACAGGCTGGCAAAACAACATAAAGGGTTTCAATCATAAAATTATTATAATATGCATCCCAGCACAGCAAAACAATGTTGTTTGAAAAATATAAGGGAAAAATATCCTGACACAGAAATTATTACTTGTGACAACTATGATAATGTATTTGACATATAAACCTTACTGAGGACTAGTTATTAGGTGTCTGTATTCCCTTCTGCGTAGTTTACGGACAAAGATCTGGAGAGTAGATGAGTGTGATGTCAGTGGGCCCCATGGGTGACTTATGTGAAGCAGGAGGAGAAAGAGGGTCACTTTCTCCCCATCCGCCTCTGCCATCCTGGACCCAGGGTTCTTGGGTTCTTGTCTCGCCACTCAGAAAGGAATTTCAGGAGTAGACAAGCAATGAAGTAAGTAGATTTTATTCGGAGGATTTTTGAAGGTTTGGAGGGGGAGAAAGAGAGTAACGTGCTTAAGAGGGTGGAGATGAGCCCCTACACACATCCCAGCGTTAGACGAGAAAGCATGAAAGCACACAACTCAAGAGGGGAGATGTGGGTGACATGTGCTCGGGTTCCTCATGTGCTCGGCCACGTGTGCACAAGTAGCATATGTGTGCCCTTCCTTTGTTCACGTTGTCTTTTATAGGCTCTTCTTGGGTTGTCTTGATCCTGAACGTTCTAGAGTCTTTCCGGGGCTGAATCACTAAAGTTAATCGGATTAAGGGAGAGGTGGGTTTGAGGAACTTCATGGGGAGGGGTCCAATCTCAGAGTCTGCTGCTGAAGGTCTTATCAGGTCTGTTTTCTGTATCCACAGGGTGGATCAGCCTTAGAATTTTTCTCCCAGAAGTTTTGTTTGACCTAAGTTTCATTGCAGAGGGCCTTTCCCTGGCTATGCCTAGGTCAAGTGGAAATAGAGATAGGGTTTTACAATTCTAGAATTTCTGGGTTTGAAAATAGAATTCGAAGTTGAGTCAGGCAGCAGTTTGGTACGGAGAGAAAATCCTGCAGATGAAAGCCTAGTTTTATGCTATTTATTACTTGTTTTAGTTTGGGGGCCATACCCAAACTTTGCTTTGGTTTGGCGGTGCACAGGGCTTATTCCTGGCTTTGGTGGTGTTCAGGGCTTACTCCTCTCTCCTCAGGGGGACAAAATGGGTGCTGGGAATCTAACCTGGGTTGGCCACATGAAGGCAAATGCCTTATTGCTGTACCATTGCTGTACCTTATTGCTCTGGCCCCACTATTACTTTATTTTATAATGCAAACGGATGAGTTGGAAGAGTTCAGTATTTATGTTTAATCCAAATAATCTTAGGAAGGGATACGAAGAGGACAGAACAGCAGGGAAGGGAGTTTTCTAAAATCCTGTGATGATTAAATTCTGGGATTACAAATTTCCAAGGGAGTACTCAGACTTTCTTTTCTGGAATGACTGATACTATCTCTAACTGAGCTAACTGAGGATGCACAGTGCCAGGCCAGTTACAAGGCAAGTCTGAGAGACACCCTCTCTGTGATCGCAGGAACCCCAGAGAGATCCTGTAGTTTTTTGGTTGGACCTTAAGCAAGAAGAGGTGCAATTTCTAAATGTCTGACATATCCTTGGGGACAAAAATTGTCCCAGAAAATTCATGAAGTAGGCAAACTCCCCTGGGCTTTAATGAATTCTTTTAGAAAATTAAGGGGACTTGGACTACAACTCTAAAATGACTTTGAGTTACAATGTACCTCCTTTACAGGCACACAGAAAGCCCTGGGACAGAGTAAATTCTCCTCTGAAGAGGGCAGGAAGAAGAGGGCAGATGAATGATAAAGTATAAGCTTCACATAGATGAGGCAGTAGGTTTCATTCTGTTACTAAACACACACACACACACACACACACACACACACACTCTCAAGTGGGGGGGGCGCGGAGGGGAAGATGGGCGGGATTATTTTTGGTTGACCACACCCTCTTTATAACTTCCCTTTCCCCGTCATTAGCTACTACAAATACTTTCCTGTAATGCTTCAAAAGCAGAGTCAAAATAAACTAGACTAGCCTCCAAAGTGGGAGGGTTCTGTGGGGGGGAGGGGAGTGGGGACCCTTTCTCTAAAGGAACCTAATGAAAGCTTGCCAAGTCTTAGCAGTGCGGTTGGAGCTTTGGATCTGCATCACAAAGAAACAGTTTCCTCTCGCGCACAATCAGGAAAGCAAAGATACTGTTCTGTTTGGGGTTGGGTTTTGCTTCTGGGCCACACCCTGCAGCCCTGCTCAGGTGGTGCTGCAGGGAAGGGGGAGGAATGGGGCCTTAGGCATGCGTGTACTCAAGTCCTCTGAGAAATCCTCTTGCCAGGAAAACAAATGTATATTTAATCAATTGTGTTGAGAGGATGCCTCCTTGCAAGAGAATTTAACCCTGGGTTCTTTTCTCAGCTGGCAGGATGGAAAACAACCCAATCTTTCATTCAGCCGGAGAAGCAAACTGAGTTAATAAGAACTCAAAGATCCAAATTAATTGTTCTGGGGCTGGAGTGATAGCACAGGGGGTAGGGTATTTGCCTTGCGCGCGGCCGACCTGGGTTCGATCCCAGCATCCCAAATGGTCTTCTGAGCACCGCCAGGAGTAATTCCCGAGTACAGACAGCTAGGAGTAATCACTGAGCATCACCGTGTGTGACCACTGCCGTGCCCACCCCCCCAACCCCCCAGCCATAAAAGCCAAACTAATTGTTGATCAAGGACATACCACAATCCTCTAAGGCCTTAAGTATCTCAGGCTGATTCTAGATCTTGAAGAATCTTTAATACAGTCAATATTTCACAAAATCCAAGAGGTTGGTCACAAAGCACCAAGATCCAGAAATCAAAAGATGGTTTTTTTTCATTGAAGTCTCATACATAAGGTCTTAGCTGCATTTCTACAGTGAGTATATATTCTAACAGGCATAAAAGTGGGTGAGGATGAGGTAGGAGGTGTTTGCAGAGAAAATGAGGCAGAAATGATGTTAAAAATTGGGGGTTTGTTTTTTGGCGGGGGTGAAAGGGGCTGGAGAGATCGATCGTACAGTGGGCAGGGCGCTTGCCTTTCATGTTCCATCCCCAGCATCCTGAATGGTCCTTAAGCATCACCAGGAGTAATTCCTGATTGCAGAGCCAAGATTAACCCCTGATCATTGCTGGGGGTGGCCCCCAAATTTAAAAAATAAATTTTTCCCACAAGAGTGTTTGAATACAATTGATTCGGAATCATGTCTCTCCACTTATTTCAAGGTGGGTTGCAATAATTTCAAAACAAAACTAAACTACTTAGGATACATGGCTCTAGAGTAGTAGAGAAATTAAGAGGTGAGGGAGATTCAAAATTAGCAGATGAAGGCGTTTCAAAAGAAGAGACAGAAGGTCTATGGTTTAAAACAACTTTGGTCAGCTCTGCACTTTTCAAGATGCGTTAGTCATAGTTAATGTATCGGATGGAAGAACTCTTTGGTCTGTCCTGAAAGTGTGCTCCATCCAAAATTTGAAAAAAAAAAAAAGGAATCGATGCTTTTCCACTTGTGTTTACTCTGGAGTTAACTGGCCTGCCGTTAGGGTGCTTTATGATTCCTACTAGAATCTAGTGGATCCACTAGATCCACGACCCTGCTGCACATACCAACTTCACTACCAACAACGCCAAGTACAGACACGGGCTGCGTTCGGTCTCACTACAGACAGCTCTTGGAGCTCACAAGTGTGGAGCGCTGGCGTTCGGAACGCCCAGCTGATTGGCCGAGCCCATGTCAGTGACATCAACCAACTTACTTTCCATTGGAAGGCTGGTTGCTGGGACTGTAGCGTTTGCAGGAAGTCACTTAACTGTTTGCTAGCTGGGCAAGCGGCGCCGAAGTTGTCTCCGATCGCGAGGAGCGCAACCGACTAGGGAAGGTGCGTCCTACCGCTCGGCCAGGTGGAACGCGCGCGTGCCAGGAGGCGGGCGCCGGCCCCCCGAGCGCGGGGCGCGCGGGGCGCGCGGGGAGCCGACCCGCCGCTCCTCCCGGGCCTCGGGGCCGTGACCCTTTTAAACGTCCACGCTCGACGCCGGAGGGGGCGGGTGGGTGGTAGCACGAGGCACCGGGACGAAAGCGCCGGATTGGCCGCGCCGCGCAGTCCCAGACGCACCTCTCCACCGACAGGCCCTCCTGACTGGCGGGGGGAGAAAGTAAACAGAGTTGAATCACCCTCCCCGCTGGCCAATGGGAGGGGGTTTGGATTGTGACGTGATGGGATTCTGCAAAACTGTCCCCGAGCTCGAGAATGCCGGAACGGTGCGGAGGACCGGCCGGAGTCGGGGCTCGGGAGGCGCCCGCGGACGGGGGTGCAAAAAAAAGTGTCTCCTAGACCTGGCGCTGGCCACGGCCGCCGCGACCCCCCGCGTCGGGGTGGTGGGCTGAGCGTTGCGCGCGGCTTTCGGCTCCGGGAAGAGGAGGTGGGAGGTGGGAGGGGTGGGGGGTGGCGGTGGTGGTGGTGGGGCGGGGGGGACGGGCGAGAGGCGGCGGAGGGCGTGGACCGCGCTTGCAGTTTCCTCTCGCCGCGCCTCGGGGGCGTCGGCCGTGGCCGCCACTTGCGAGCGCCACGTGTGGCATCTTTCCAAAGGGGCCCGCGCGCAGCGGCCGGCGCGCCCGTCGGGGGGGATCGCGCCGGGCGCGGGGCACGATCGGCGGCGGCGGCGGCGCGGCGGAGCCCGGGGCCGTGGATGCTGCGTGCGGAGGCGCCGCTGCCGGTTACGTAAAAGATGAGGGGCTGAGGTCGCCGCGGCTCTCCCGCGAGTCGGAAGCGCCCCGCGCGCCCCCGCCCCCTTGGCCGCCGCGCCGCGCCGCGCCGCGCTCGTCGTCGTCCGAGACCAGGGCAGGGCGAGCCGAACCTCCGCAGCCGCCGCCGCCGCCGCCGCCAAGTTCGGCCCGCACCATGTCCGCGGCCGCCTACATGGACTTCGTGGCCGCCCAGTGCCTGGTGTCCATCTCCAACCGCGCCGCGGTGCCCGAGCACGGGGGCGCCCCGGACGCCGAGCGGCGGCGACTCCCCGAGCGCGAGCGCAGCGCCGAGCACGGCGACCCGGGCGACACCTGGAAGGATTACTGCACGCTGGTCACCATCGCCAAGAGCTTGCTGGACCTGAACAAGTACCGGCCCAACCAGACCCCGTCGGTGTGCAGCGACAGCCTGGAGAGCCCCGATGAGGACCTGGGATCCGACAGCGACGTGACCACCGAATCTGGGTCGAGTCCTTCCCACAGCCCCGAGGAGAGACAGGATCCTGGCGGCGCGCCCAGCCCGCTCTCCCTCCTCCACCCCGGAGTGGCCGCCAAGGGGAAGCACGCCTCCGAGAAGAGGCACAAGTGCCCCTACAGCGGCTGCGGGAAAGTCTACGGCAAATCCTCCCATCTCAAAGCCCACTACAGAGTGCACACAGGTCAGCCGCGTCTCCGGCCCCGCGCCGCGCCCGGGGGATGCGCTGGGGTGCGGTGCGGTGCGGGGGTGGGGTGGGATGCGGGCGTGGGGTGGGGGGGGGAGGCCCATCGCCTTCGGCCCGGGCCGCGCCACTCGGGGACGCCGCACTGGAGGGCGCGGACGCGCTGGGCACCCCGGCCGCCGCCGGGGCCCTTGGCGACAGTCGCACCGCGTCGGGTGCGCGGCTCTGGCCGGCGCGCACCTGGCGGGTGCTCCCCGCGTCGGGGAACAGCCGCCGCCGGCGCCGGCGGGAGCCAGAACCCGGCGCGCCAACCCCCTGCGCCCGCCGCCGCCCGGCTGGGAGGCGCCCCCCAGTCCCCGGGGTGCCCCGCCCCCGGACGCCCCGCAACGCCCCACCTGGGCAGGCGCGAGGGGGCGGCGACCCGCGTGTCTCCCGTGGACTCCCCGTGCGGGGTGGGCGGCCAAGTGGCAGCCACCCGGGGCGAAGCGACACACTTTGCCTGGAGTGTCTGGTGGAGGGATGACTAAGGACTCGTTAGTCCGTCCCCCCCTCTCCACCCCCCACCTCGCCTGCTGCTACTTCTTGGGGTCTGCCTCGGTGGTTTCAGATTTGGCCCAGGGTCCCCAGAGAGCTTGAAAATAACTCTGCTCCAGGGAGCGGAGGACTTTGATCCAGAGATGGTTGGTGAGCTGAACTTCACCATGAGTTAGCGTTTGCTTTTTTTTTTTCTTTTTCCTCTTCTCCTTGGGAGCGGTTTTCGAGGTGCTGTTTTTTTTTTTCTTTTATCCTCCTAACCCCGCCACCGCGGAGCCCAGCAGGTGGAGGAGGAGGAGGAGGAGAAGGAGGAGGAGGAGGAGGAGGAGGAGGAGGAGGAGGAGGAGGTGGAGGGGGTGTGGTCCCCGCCCGAGGTCGAGGCCTGTTCGTGAACGCGCGGACCTCCTGGAGGCCACGTGGAGAGGGGTCACTCCCAGGCGAGGGCTTCAGGCCAGGCTGGCCCCAAGACCCGTGCAGTGGCCAGAAAGACCTCTGCACTGGGTGGGCTTCCGGAGAGCCCCCTGGACTGGGGTCAGCCAGTTCCGTTGGTTCTGTTTAGCAGACGCTGGAGAAAGTTGGAAAGCATTCCCACTGGGCCTTGGGCCTAACCATCTTTTAGTCAGGTCCTTTTTTTGCTGTTCTGATAAGGAAGCCCTGGGGCGCTGGGGGGGATGGCCCGTTGCAACCGCCCTCCCCCTAGGAGTGCCTCGTCCTTTGACTCCGGGTTTAAGAGGTTGTTGGCTGTTCTTTGGAAATGCACTGTCACTTTTTAATAGAATTGCGTGATGGCTTTCCAAGGTGAGGCCCCGGGGCCTGTGGTTTCCAAAAAAAAAAAAAAATGATCCTTGCTGGGTTTGCTTTGGCTTCGCTTTTGAAACTGAAGGCCACGTAAACTGGTAAACTGCGTTTCGGGTTTTGTTTGCCTTGGAGAGTGCCGGCTGGTGGGGAGGTGGTTGAGGGCAGAGGGGTGACGCTGAATTTTCTACCCCCCCCCCCCCCCGAATAGTATATGTGCAAGGTTTGGCATCGGTCTACCCCCCCGGAATAGTATATGTGCAACGTTTGGCATCGGTTGCCCGAGCAGAGCCCATTCTTTTCTAAAGCTGGTATCTGTGAGGGTGTGCATTGGGGGATGTGACCTTTCTGGAGGCACCCCAGGGGAAGCAGGGGTCTGCCACCCAGAGGGTGTTACTCACCAACAGCTGTTGGGCGGGCGGCCTTGTCAGCCATGTTCCGGGACTTGCGTTTTTCACATCAACACCCACAGCCACCTTGAGCAAAGGCACGTTCTCCTTCAGGGAGCTGCCCAAGGGGTGCAGTGGGGAAGGCCTGTCAGCCTCCAAGGAGAAGATTCCCCTGGCCCCTCTGGCCCTTCCAGCCCAGTGATTTCCTCAGTCCTTTTCGGAAATGAGTGCTTAGGTTGCGGTGTGCGTGCACCCGTGTGCTTTTTTAATTCTCCAGAAGGCCAGGCAGCTCAGCTGTGTCAGGGAACCCTTTGACACAGTGGAACATGAAGGGAAACGTTAATCCGGTTTTCAGTGTTGCAGTTTGTCTTTTGAAGCTCGTTGATAGGATGATTGCAGGTGTCTTGCTTAGGTTGGTCGGAGGGTGTGGGGTGTGGGTGGACGGGTGGCTCTCTCAGGACCCCGTTGAACTAAAATCCCGCCCCCCCAGCTTGTGTCAGTATTTGCTGAAGAGAGCTCCCACCCACCAAAGCGGCTGTGTGATGAGACACCACCTGAGAGACTTGCAGGAGGTCTCTTGGGTTTGGAAGTTTCGAGAACCTTCAAATCACGGTGTCTCTGGAGGTGAGGTACAGACAGGGTCGGCTGGTGGTTTTTATTTTGCTGGTTCTAAATCCCCAAGGCCAGCCAGAGATAACAACTGGAATGTGCATTCTGTGTACATTTAAAGGGCTAAAATGACAGCCACACCCCCTCACCCCACTCTCGGTGACCCGCCTCTGTGGAGCCTGTCAGGGATTTCAGTGCCCCAAAGAAGCTACAGCTCAGCGTCCAGGGGGAACGATGTTCTGGAGGTGGACCCAGCTGGGTTCTGAGTTGCTTGCCTCTTTTTCTACTTGGGGAGACTGAGGCACGTTACTTGAGCTCAGAGTTTGCAGCCCGGAGGCCCGCTAGAGAATTGACTTTGCGAATTTGTTTGGCTTGGTGGACTTGCGTTTCTGTTTTTGTTTTTTTAATTTTAATTAGTTACCAATATGGAGAAATCAAAGGATTTCAGAACACAACTCCAGAATTCTGGCTTTTCTGGAAAAGGTTGAAAGACCTGGCAGTGGTGGGCCCAAATTCCTGACTGGCAACAACTGGCTTGAGCCAGTTCTTCCCTTGGAAAGGCAGGGTTCCTTATTTTAATCTTTTTCCACCCTCTATTAATTGGAAGGTTTGCAGGCCCTTCTTTGTTTGGGCCTCAGTTAATCCATCCACAGGATCTGTCATAGGGCTCCCAAGTTCTGGTGCAAAAATAATGTATATGAAGTTCCTACTGGCATTCCATATATGATAAACCCTCAAGAAATGCTGCATTTTGGAGTTGACGTGTAACAGGGTGTTATCAAGGTCAGGAGAGAGTGCATACTCTTTCTCTTAAGCAGCCACGGGCAACTTAATTTTGTCCTATTATGCTCAATTTCTTGAGCTCCAGAATAAGTTGTCTTAGGAGCTATGTCTCTGAAGTTCAAGCATTAGACCCATTTTGGGGGAGTGCAGTGTGCCCTGTATAGTAGTGATCAGGGTTTATTCTGAGCCCTCCGATGGACCATATGGGGTGCCAGGGCTCAAAATGGAATTGGCTGCCTGCAAGTACTCTAACCCCTGTACATTTGTCCAGCCTAAGTAGACCCATTGTTACTCTGAAGAAAAAAGTGTGATGACAACTCTGCCTGCCCTTACCCATTTCCACAATTTTTCAGTGCTTTAGAGTATATTTTGTTTGTTTGTTTTGCTTTTTGGGTCACACCCTGAGATACACAGGGGTTACTCCTGGCTCTCTCTGCATTCAGGAATTACTGCTGGCAGTGCTCAGAGGACCGTATGAGATGCTGGGAATGGAACCCAGGTCGGCCACATGCAAGGCAAAGGCCTTACCCGCTCTGCTATTGCTCCAGCACCAAGAATACATTTATTTGTTTTAAAATTTTATTGCTTTGGAGGCTGGAAAGGTAGGCCACTTGCCTTGAATGTGGGGACCTGGGAATCTGGATTCAGGCCCCAGCCACTGCATTGCATACGGTCTGGTCCCCCTGAGCATCAGTAGAAGTGCTTCATGAGAAGAGCCAGGAGTAGGTCCTGAATACCAGTGGGTGTAGCCCAAAATCCATAACAGAAAGTTACTGCATTATTGTTGATTCATAGTATTATGGAATTTCTGGGTTTAGCATGCACTGTATGTATGTACTTCTCAAATACATGTATCACCGAAGTCCCCATGCCACCCCTCTCACCAAAGAGATCCCACTGCACATACCTCCCACCCGCCCTTTCCTTTGCCCACCTGAAATCAGAACAGTTGTCACTGAGTTCAGAGTACGTTGTGATTTAGATGAACAAATAGACCCCTGGGAGCACTCCTTCTGAAACCACATTGAGCATGTTTTAAAATGCAACCAGTGTTAAGTTGATCCTGTTTCCTGGTTGCAGTCACCCTGTACCCCAGGGCCTCTTATGTGCTGTCATGAGAGTGTCATGAATGTATCTTTTGGTCAAGGAAGCCACTACATCCAAATTCCCATTGTATAGTGTCACACGAAGGTGATATCCCAGTGATAGAGAGTTTAGACCTTATTCCTCAGACCTTATTCCGATGTCAGGCATAACTTTAGGGACCTGAAATCAGTGTAATGCCACGGGCTATAGGATTCTGAGTAAAGCCCTAACCACCACGTTTGTGTTAACAGGGAGAATTTATTTATTTGAAACAACTATGCAGAACAGTAGGTGAAAAGAAAGAGCTTGTAAAATAAGGAAAGATGGGAGCTTCAGAAAGCCCTAGAAGGAGTGCCCGTGCTTCCTCTTACCCTATTGGAGCATTTCTCTGGGGTAGTGGGAAGATCTGGTAGCAGGTATGTGTGGATAAGCCTTTGCTGTGGGAGTGAGGTTCCGAATTTGGAAAATACATTTTTGACTGCAGTAGGCATGTCGATCATTGGTCATCTCTGACTCAGGTGGGGTCTTTGTGTGTGCCTAAAGTTGGCATTTCTTTGCTTATACGTGTGCCACGCCTGCTCTGTAGGAGTTCTTGTCGTCTCCCCTGGTTTCAGAAAGTGCCATTGGACCTGGGAGTGGCCCCCGTTCTCCTGAGTGCTGCTTTGGGGGACCATCCTCTGCAAAGAGAAAGTGCCATCTGCTTCCGTTATCACCAGAAACAGTGTTCAGGGACATGGCAAGGTCTTGGGGCCTGCTCAGAGATAGCCTCTGGGCAGTCATTCATAAGCTGCAACCCCTCAGCCG